AATGTGGGCTATGCTATGGGTGATTGGCCGTAGGCTGGGTTCACCCACCATCAATTACTGGTCTCGAGATGGAATTTCCTACCGTTAATCAGGAAAATGATGCAAACTGCACGAATCAGTGGGCCAGGTGCTGAAAGACATGACTGAAGAGCTATTTCAGCTTGGAAATCAGTCATCATCAGTATGCTAGTCGTAGGTGGCTATCAGTCAGCCATGACTATCCATACCCCATTTTTTCGAAGCTGAGTCAGAACCTCAGATTTCGCTAAGCTGCCGTCTCTAGGGGTTATTTGACCCCCTGAACACGAATATGACACCTATTTTGCGCGAAAGCTCTGTGAGTCCCGCTACAGGTGCCATCGCTTCGGCGCCAGCGCGCCCGGAAGAAGAAAAACAGTAAAAAACCTCCATAACTTCGCTCAGAGGATCGTTCTGCAAATTTTGAAGACTGTTTTGAGTTCACCGTCTCAAGCGAGTACAATGATGTGCACCTCATTGCAAATGGCCAGGCTGACCTGTTGACCTTTCCTGGTGAGATTCCGTCCCCTCCTATGAACTATTAGAATCAGTAGTTATGGCGCGGGCGCCATCAAAAAGCCGTTGCTTTTGAGCCCAAAGTCACGGCAAGGTGAAGCGGTCCGTTCATCAAGCTCGAGCGTATTTACAGTGTTTGCGTCTATGAAGCCGCTTGGCTGCACCACTCTCAAACACGCGTCTAGGCCGTCGAGCTATGGTGGAACACACCGGCGATTCAGCTGCTTGGACAACCTCACCACAGTTCAGGACTCCTTTTTCAGAACCTAACCCTACAAGTTACGATCACGATCACTGTCGAACTCTTACAAGGGAATGGTTTCAACTTCCCATGGAACTTTGAATGGAGACCTAGGTACATCGATAGAGTCTCGAATGCTGATTACGAATATGCAGATTAAAAGTGCTACGGGGACCTCCCAGACGAGTTCTGGGTGGTCAAAGTTTGGCATCGATCAGCAGCGCTTACAAGCCAAAACTAGCTATTACAGTTTTGGCTTGTAAGCGCTGCTGATCGATGCCTCGGCAGTGCCACCGTGGCCTAGTGGTAACGGTCTCGCTTCAAGGCAAATGCTTGTGGGTTTGCATCCCGTTGGCGCGAAAGTTTTTGCTTCGTCTCCTATAAGAGCTTTTACTCTAATTTTCGAAATTCTTCCGAGTTTACGACCCAGCAGAGCAAGTAGATCAAGTATATGACGTACTCGATCGAGTATGGATTTGGTCACTATCTGCCCTCTCTGAACTCATTACCCATCCGACAATTCGAAGTTTGGCCAGAAACTCGTTCCTGAGGGGTATTTTGACCCCCTGAAAACGAATATTATATCCGTTTGGCGAGAAAACGCTTGTAGCCTTTCACGTTGTTGTGGTCATCAACTGAACGAGGGAACCGATCGTTTTCGCGTCAAACGGATGTGATATTCGTGCTCAGGGGGTCAAAATACCCCCAGAAACGAGTTTCTGGCCAAATCGTTGGCCAAACTTCGAATTGTCGGATGGTTGATGAGTTCAGAGAAGGCAGAGTGACCAAATCCATTTTCGATCGAGTACGTCATACTTGCTCTGCTGGGCCGTGACACGGAAGAATTTCGAAAATTAGAGTGAAAGCTTTTATAGGAGACGAAGCAAAAACTTTCGCGCCAACGGGATGCAAACCCACAAGCATTTGCCTTTGAAGCGAGACCGTTACCACTAGGCCACGGTGGCACTGCCTAGCCATCGATCAGCAGCGCTTACGAGCCAAAACTGAGTTTTCGCAAACTTTGACCACCCAGATCTCGTCTGGGAGGTCCCCGTAGCACTTTTAATCTGCATATTCGTAATCAGCATTCGAGACTCTATCGATGTACCTAGGTCTCCATTCAAAGTTCCATGGGAAGTTGAAACCATTCCCTTGTTAGGTAACCCAAACTTGTCGGTTTGACAAGTCCTGAAAATGAATGGGCAAGAAATAGTAACAAAAAGGAAGGATTGAGACCAATGTGTAATGTAGATGCTCTGAGCGCCCACTTAACCCTCCTTTCTTACAAATAAGTTTTGGTGGTATGCTTGACGAGCGAAGTGCCTTTTTGTGTCCCTCTGTGTGAAGGCCTGAATCCATCAGTATGCTGTTTATGGAGCTTGCCATAAATGAAATGATTTTGCCTGATTTCAGTATGTCTCGAGACGAAAAGGCACAAAAGGTGTGATACTTGCTGACGAAAGTAAAGGTATGGTAGTCCAACAAATTTTTTAACTACCATGATTTCTACGCTGGAAGTCGCGGTGCCATTAGAATGGCTCCACTTTGTTCTGCACCTGGACATATTCACCCTTCGTATTCATGTTTAGACGAAACGTTTGATCTATCTCGTGCCTCTTCTAATCAGTCACTGGCTTCGACTACAATGTCAACGAGCGGCTTTGAGGTTAGAATTCTTCCGTTCTCCAACAAATTTCTTCGCATGCCTACAACGTGTGTCGTAAGCAACCTTATCTGATTCAGGGTTGTTCAATGGACGACATTGCAGTGACTGCGCTTGAAAGAATCGCTGCCTACTTACCAGTAAATGACACGATTCGTATGGAACGCGTTAGTAAGCGGTGTATGGAAGCGTCTATGAAGGTTTGTATCGAGAGAGTTTACGCAACCAAAACTTTGCAGAGTTTCCTGTGACATGTTTGAAATTGTCTTGAAATGGATTTTGCTCGTATATCAAATATCAACCTCCTACTAAAAAGGGGTGGGGCAATGGAGAGCGACGCCACCAACACCGATCAAAAGTACTTGAATGCACCCCTGCGCTCAGTTGGTGTTCAGACCCTTCTTTTGGACAAGATAGTCCCGCCTGCCGGTGGAGGGTTCGCTATTAGTTTTGCAGCTCAAAAACATGTGACGAAAGCGTTGCCCCCTTGCGGTGGATCCACAGCCCCGCCCACTGACGGTGACCCCAACCCCACATTTTAACTGATAAACTGATATGCGCGGGGTTGTTCCCTATAACTCTCTCCATTTCGAATTGATGAAGTGATAAGGATAAGGAGAAAGAAGAACTCGTACGACCACGCCTTTGTTTATGTTATGCAAGTACAAAGCGCGCGGTTCAGCGCAGGTTCTATATGGGGCATTTCCGGCGAATTTTCCTGCCTTTTTCTCCACTAGTGGATCACTTACTACCTTTTCATTGGTATTTGGCTCGCACGACTCACCATTTCTTAAACACTGGGTGTGCCCCTTGAACTCTGCGGGTCATCTTCTTTTCTTGTTAATCTCACGTTCTTTCCGTGCTCGTGAGGTTCCCTGCTATCTGTTTTAGGGAAAGCCAAGTGCATGACATCCTCCAAAAGAAAAATTTGATAAAATCCAAGATTTTTCCGTTAGTTTACTGAAAATTTTGCAGTCATGGTCCTTAGTTCCGAGACTCGTTTTGGCCAGAGATTGTGAGGGTTTCGGGAAGCATAATCCGTTTCGTAACTATCATCTCAAGGTGAGCTTTTGTTCTTCTCAGTAGATCTAGTGTAATATTGATGTGTTAGAAGTTCATTTTCCGTAATTATACTTGAAGACTTCTGGTTCTATTTCTATTTGGATTTTATTTTATCTGCGCTTGTCTGTGATATCAGTAATTTAGTGTTACATTTAGTCCATACTAAGACGTGCTGGAGTTCATCTGAAATCGCTGGATATGAATGGCATAGTGCACTTGATGGATGAGAAGGCCCTGGAAATTATTGCAGCTAGCTGTCCAATATTGGAAGAGGTCCGCTCAAAAAGTCCAATTTTTTTTACTCAGGTCTCTGCGAAATGTTCTACTCACGCGTATTAATTTGTTGATATAGTTGGATCTCTCCGGAGTTCGGGCGTCATGGGAGGCCCTAGGTGATCTGGGCGAGTCGTTGACGAATTTGAAGAGGTTGACGTACAGGGACATGGACAACGCTTCGGACAAGGTTTACTAACGCTTGTTTCTGTGACTCTGCGTTCACTAGTCTCCTACAATTGAATTTTTTAGGCGTTCTGGTTCCTCATTAAAGGATGTGGTCGCGGACTGCAGTTCGTTGATCTGCGTGGATGCCGTCGATTACATGGTAGATGTTTCCGATTGTTTGGCGAACAGCTGGAACAGGTATGGTCCGGACTTCATCGTAGATGGTGAGAAGTCTGAGGGAAGAACCTAGCATAAGTACGAGTTTCAGTTGTATTTGGACGGGTGTGTGCACGTGGACGAAAGAGCGCTGGAAGATCTGTGCACCTGTGCTGCTGGTTTGAAAGAGCTACGGCTCAACGATTGTTTTCAAATAACGGACGAGAATTTGAGGTGGGTTTTTCAAACTTCATGAACTGCGTAAAACTCATTGAGTAATTTATCGCAGGAGTTCTGGGTTGTAGGCAAAATTAGACCTCTGGCGGAACTCGAACCCGCTTCTCCCACTAACGATGCGAGTGCACTATCCAGTACGCCGCTCTTACCCTCTCAGTTCAGTGGCTTTTGTGCGATAGCGCACTCGCTCCGTCAGCGGGAGGAACGGGGTCGAGTCCCACCAGCACGCGGTTCGTGGGCCAATCCCGGCTCCCGCAAAGCCATTTAAGCCCTAACCCTCTTTGACGGTGAATTATTAGCATACTTTTCTGAGGAGATAAAAACACCGGATTGCTTGGACGGCAAAGGGAAATCATTGTATGGAACGTATCGCATGCAGTAAGAAAATGCGGAAGGAGAATGCGTACCTCACCCTAAAAGGGTATGTAGATGGCGCACTGTCCTTTTTATCCTTCAGAGCCGTGAAGTGAACAGTGAGAAGGGCCCTGTCAATTGATTTGATAGCAAAGTAGCTGGTCGAGTGAAGTGGCTGAAGTTCTGGGCTTCGGCGCTACGCTTCGTGAGCAATGTCCTGAACTACATCCACAACACTTTAGGGCGGTAACAGTGGAGTTATACTCGGACGGGAATGTGAGTACAAATTCAGTTTCGAACCATTAGGCTGCGTTCACACTTTGGGTCAGGGTTTTGAGGGACGGCCCGCGAAAAGCTCAAAACTATCCGCGAGACGCTCAAAACGCAGGCGTACGCTAAAAACGCTGACGCAAAGTATGAACGCATTCAGAGGTTCTCAATTAATTTGATTATTTCGATACGGTCTCCACATATCAGGGTTTTGCCCTAACCGGACTGTGGCTACAGAAGCGCATGGGAATGAGCGGGTCTAAGATACAA